CTTGAGTAGGGACTAGAGAAGGGACTAGAGAAAGGACTAGGAAAGTGACCTGAGGAGGGACTAGGGAAGGGACTAGAGAAGGGACTAGAGAGGTGACTAGAGTTGGTACTTGAGAAGTGACTAGAGAAGTGACTAGAGGTGGGACTGGAGAAGGGACTAGAGAAGGGACTAGGAAAGTGACCTGAGGAGGGACTAGAGAAGGAACCATGGCTGCTGGGGCCGGGACTGGAGCTGAAACCATGGCTGCTGGGGCCTGTACTGGGGCTGTGACCTCCAAAGGCCAGACGAGTACCAGCGAATGGCTCCTGGACTGTAGCAAACACTGGGTGAGAAGCAGGGGCTGACGCCAGACGGACCACACCGATGCGTGTGGTATCAAAAAGGGAATCTGGAGACCTGGGTCTATCAGGATCGGGAAAACAAACCGTGAGGTAATCCAAAAGCCAGGCCGGTAAGAATTTGACCAAATCTTGATTCCTCAGCATAAGGTGGACTGCATCTGCCAGAGCAGCATCTCGCTGCTGAACCCTGATCGCTCCTATCCATCGATGAGCATAGTCAGACAAAGAAACGGTATAATCCACTAGTTCCTGCTCAAACGAATCTGCTGGGCCCATATCGCTGGATGGTTCGTAATGTTACGGTGGGTGTAGGAAGCAGGACCCAAATGCAGATTAAGTGACAAAAATAACTCCTTTATTTCAAGGCTAGACAATAATCAGAGACAGAACAGAACACTCACCGCTGACCAAGTCATTACACAAGACGAACCGACAAAGACAGAAAAACCAGAACTTAAATACACACAAGACTAATCACACAAACAAGACACAGGTGAGGAGGGAGGGTAAAACACAGGGGCCACAGGTGAACACAATCGGGTAATCAGACACACCAGGGAAACTAACGACAGGGAACCACAGACAGATCTAGACAAGACACAACGCAGACAGAAAACCAAAAACAGATATAGACAAGACAAAACACCATAAAGACAGATCGTGACACTATCGCTCGAAGTGGAGTCGAAAGAGATGAGTTTTCAGTCTGCGCCGGAAGGTGTGTAAGCTATCTGCTGTCCTGATGTCAATGGGAGCTCATTCCACCATCTTGGAGCCAGGATAGCAAACCCACGTGTTTCTGCTGATGGTAACTTGGGTCCCCTTCGCAGCGATGGTGCAGCGAGCCGTTTGGTTGATGCAGAGCGGAGTGCACGTGCTGGGGTGTACGGTTTAACCATGTCCTGGATGTAAGAAGGGCCAGATCCATTCGCAGCATGGTACGCAAGTACCATTGTCTTGAAGTGGATTCTAGCAGTTACCAGAAGCCAGTGGAGGGAACGGAGGAGCGGCGTGGTGTGGGAGAATTTAGGAAGGTTGAAGACCAGACGAGCCGCTGCATTCTGGATGAGCTGCAGAGGTCGGATGGCACATGCAGGTAGACCAGCCAGGAGGGAGTTGCAGTAGTCTAGGCGTGAGATGACGAGAGCCTGGACCAGAACCTGCGTGGCTTTCTGTGTCAGCTGGGGACGCATCCTCCTGATGTTGTAAAGCGTGTATCTGCAGCAGTGGGTTGTAGCAGCGATGTTTGCAGTGAAGGACAGGTTGTTATCTAGGGTCACACCCAGATTCCTTGCAGTCTGAGTCGGGGAAACAACAGAGGTGCCGATGTTGTTTGTCAGGTCAAGAGTGGGACAATCTTTTCCCGGAAGGAAAAGCAGTTCAGTCTTGTCAAGGTTGAGCTTGAGGTGATGATCAGACATCCACTGAGAGATGTCAGCTAGACAAGCAGAGATGTGTGCGACGACCTGGGTCTCTGAGCGGGGAAAGGACAGAATTAATTGGGTGTCGTCAGCGTAGCAGTGGTAAGAAAAACCATGCGGGCTAATGACTGATCCGAGCGAGTTTGTGTACAAGGAGAAGAGGAGGGGACCAAGAACAGAGCCCTGAGGGACCCCTGTAGTTAATTGACAAGGGTCGGACTTGGACCCTCTCCAAGTAACCCTGTAGGTGCGGTCTTTGAGGTATGAGGTGAGGAGGGAAAGTGCAGAGCCTGAAACTCCAAGTGCTTGGAGAGTGCGAAGGAGGATCTGATGATTCACCGTGTCGAATGCAGCAGACAGGTCCAACAGGATGATGACAGAGGAGAGGGAGGCTGCTTTAGCAGTGTGTAGTTCCTCAGTGACAGCAAGGAGGGCAGTTTCTGTGGAGTGACCTGCCTTGAAACCAGACTGGTGCAGATCCAGAAGGTTGTTCTGATGGAGATAGCAGGAGAGTTGTCTAAAGACAGCGCGTTCAAGTGTTTTAGACAGGAACGGGAGGAGAGAGACAGGCCTGTAGTTTATAACATCAGACGGGTTGAGAGTGGGTTTCTTTAGGAGAGGGTTTACTCTTGCCTCCTTGAGACTGTTTGGAAAGTGACCAGAAGTTAGAGAAGTGTTGATGAAATGGGTGAGAAACGGTAGAATATCAGGAGCGATAGTCTGAAGGAGGTTTGAAGGGATAGGGTCCAGAGGACAGGTGGTAGGGCGGGCAGAGGTAATGAGGATAAGAACCTCACTTGGAGAGAGAGGGGAAAAGGAGGTTAGTGTGTGGGTGGAAGGAGGGTCTGGTGACCCAGCGGTGAGTAAAGGTGAGTCAGAAAAAGAAGAGCGAATATCATCAACCTTTTTTTCAAAGTGGGTAACAAAGTCGCTTGACAGAGAGGAGGAGGGGGAAGGGGCTTTGGGGGGTCCAAGAGGGAGGAGGGGGAAGGGGCTTTGGGGGGGTCCAGGAGGGAGGAGAAGATGGAAAATAGTTTTTTAGGATTGGAATAGGAAGATTGGATCTTATCTTGAAAGAAAGTGCTTTTTGCCTGAGAGATCAAAGCAGAGAAAGAGGAAAGGAGAGCCTGATAGGTTAGGAGGTCGTCACGGTGTTTGGATTTCCACCATTTCCGCTCTGCTGCCCGAAGGACGGTTCTATTAGCACGCAGTGCATCATTTAACTTTCATGATCAATCATTATAAAACATATCATAGGCCTATATATTATTCTGAAATGGACCAATCTGCACAACGACTACTTTTACTGTCGCTACTTTCACTATATTTTGATGAGAATACTTTTCTACTTTTACTTGAGTAAGGCTTAAAGTACAATACTGATTACCTGGTACGGCAGCTGCACCGCCCTCAACCGTAAGGCTTTACAGAGGGTGGTGAAAACTGCACAGCTCATCACCAGTACTGACCATCCATGGAGGACCTTAATCTCAGCGGCTCAGGAAGAAAGCCCTCAGGATTACAAAAGACCCCCCATCACCCCAGCCACAAATTGTTCAGTCTGCTGCCGTCTGGCAGGCGCTACCGCAGCATCCGGACTACAACCACCAGACTCAGAGACAGCTTCATCCCACAGGCCAGAAGACTGTTAAACACCTGCACTTAGAAACAACATCCATAACATTCATCTGGCTGCTACTTATATCAATATTCCAATTACTTGTATATTGTAGTGCCGAGAGATAGGAGTTGGAGACGGTGCATCGAAGGTGCAAAAGGGAACTTTATTGAGGAGCAGAAAAGGACATGTTGTTGGCTTGCAGTCCGAGTAGACAAGAGAAAGAGAAAGGAAGGAGGACACAGACCCCGGAGGTACATTAGGCATTAGTGTCCGTGCGGAACAATACCCCCAACCTGTAGTTCCATGATTGAACTATGTAACCCAGTGTATTAATAAGTGATCACTACAATATAGACTATTCTGCACTATTTCTATTATATTATATTTTATTTTATTTACTTTATTTATTTTATTTATTTTATTTATTTTATTTATTTTATTTATTTTATTTATTTTATTTATTTATTTATTTTATTTATTTTATTTATTTTATTTATTTTATTTATTTTATTTATTTTATTTATTTTATTTATTTTATTTATTTTATTTATTTTATTTATTTACTTTATTTATTTATCTCTGTTATTGTGTTGTTCTGTTGGAGGAGCTGTGACCTCAGATCTTCATCGACATATCTACACTGTAGCTGCTGCAGTGGCGGTTCTAGACCAATTTGACTGGGGGGGCCACTGGGGGGCCAGTTATTTTCTGAGGGGGGCACAATAAATGCAGGACGAAAAAGAGAATTAGACAGTATGAAGTAATTGCGCATAAGAAAACAATACAATACAGTTATTGGTATTTGTTTCAGTACACTTATTTATTTCAGATAGATCTTATAGTTATTACTGTTAGCTTCAGCTTAAGTTATAGTGCAATGTTTGCACTCACACCATATTTATATAAAAATAAAGGCAATGAACAGTTACATCTCTACTTTACATAAGGGTGTCTGCACAATCTCACATTATAGCAACAAAATCCTGCGTTTTTTGGCAAACCGAGTACCAGAAAATATACATTTAAAAAAAAAAAAAAACTTTTAATTGTTAGGGGGGTCAGAGGTCAGTGTTAGGGGGCACTGGCCCCCCCTGACCCCCCCCCCCCCCCCTAGAACCGCCCCTGGGCTGCTGATACAACACATAACAATAAAAGCCTTGAATCTTACTTCATTCCATTTTTACTCAAGTACCAGGTCTGAATACTTCTACCTGTATTAAAGTACCAGGTCTGAGTACTTCTACCTTTACTAAAGTACCAGATCTGAGTACTTCTACCATTACTAAAGTACCAGGTCTGAGTACTTCTACCTTTACTAAAGTACCAGGTCTGAGTACTTCTACCTTTACTAAAGTACCAGGTCTGAGTACTTCTACCTTTACTAAAGTACCAGGTCTGAGTACTTCTAACCCTCTGCACTTAAGGAACTGGTCACACCCTTTGTTCATTAATACACACTCTGGTAATATTGTATCCATACAGACCGTCAGTCAGCTGTACCTGCACAGGTAGATAGAGATGTACCTGCCGGGTATCTTCATTAATACCCTTTCTCTGGTCATCCATAAACATATCAGATTAACTTTATTTTTGAGAAGCTATGCGTTAACTCTCCGGTGGGAAACACAGGGCGGAACTAATGTTCCGGTCTGTGTTTCCTGTCGGGACGAGTTAGCGGTTGCACGCGGGAAACCTGTGAGATGGCGGTCGTCACCGTGTAGTTCTGAGAGAATAATAATAATACATTCATCTGTTTTATATAAATATATACAGACAGATACAGAACATGGAGGGTAAGCCCAACCTGACCCTGGTATTCCAGGCGGTGCAGGCCCTGTACCACGACCCGGACCCGGCGGGGAAAGAGAGGGCCTCCGTGTGGCTGGGGGAGCTGCAGAGATCGGTAAGAGAGGACCGGGGGGAGAGGGTAGAGGACCGTGGAGAGAGGACCGGGGGGAGGACCGGGGAGAGAGGACCGGGGAGAGGACCGGGGAGAGGACCGGGGGGAGGACCGGGGATACGAGAGAGAAACTGCGGGGAAACGAGAGGGCTAGCTGCAGAGAGACACACCGGGGAGATCAACCGGGGGAGGGGGGGGGGGGGGGAGAAACCGAGAAAACGTGCTGAAACATGCGGAAACATGGATTAGAGGGTTAGACCCAGAGACCAGTGAGGACCGGGAGGAGGGTCTATTCCGGGCAAATTGGACCGGGTTTCTGTGGTTCCTCTGGTCCGGTAGAGAGACCGGAGGATCCGAAGTGCGCAGCTTAGAGCCGCTAGCATCAGAGCTAAGCTAAATGAATGGACCACACAGACTGCATATACAGATCACTGTTAGCTGTTAGCTGTTAGCTTCTGACAGGAACATAATGGAGGCGGCTTGTTAACGTGATTTACTGCAGTTTAGATCCGAGTTTCTGTCCTAGGTTCCGGTCTCTGAGGAGTTCAGCGGGCCTACTAGCATGTTAGCTTTGTTAGCATGTCTGGTGTCAGTCAGTAAAGTTATCACAGCTAAAGATAGCTTGTTAGCCCTGTTAGCATGTCTGGTGTCAGTCAGTAAAGTTATCACAGCTAAAGATAGCTTGTTAGCTCTGTTAGCATGTCTGGTGTCAGACAGTAAAGTTATCACAGCTAAAGATAGCCTGTTAGCTCTGTTAGCATGTCTGGTGTCAGACAGTAAAGTTATCACAGCTAAAGATAGCCTGTTAGCATGTTAGCATGTCTGGTGTCAGTCAGTAAAGTTATCACAGCTAAAGGTAGCTTGTTAGCTCTGTTAGCATGTCTGGTGTCAGTCAGTAAAGTTATCACAGCCAAATGTAGCCTGTTAGCTCTGTTAGCATGTCTGGTGTCAGTCAGTAAAGTTATCACAGCTAAAGATAGCCTGTTAGCTCTGTTAGCATGTCTGGTGACAGACAGTAACGTTATCACAGCTAAAGATAGCCTGTTAGCTCTGTTAGCATGTCTGGTGTCAGTCAGTAAAGTTATCACAGCTAAAGATAGCCTGTTAGCTCTGTTAGCATGTCTGGTGTCAGTCAGTAAAGTTATCACAGCTAAAGATAGCCTGTTAGCTCTGTTAGCATGTCTGGTGTCAGACAGTAAAGTTATCACAGCTAAAGATAGCCTGTTAGCTCTGTTAGCATGTCTGGTGTCAGACAGTAAAGTTATCACAGCTAAAGATAGCCTGTTAGCTCTGTTAGCATGTTAGCATGTCTGGTGTCAGACAGTAAAGTTATCACAACTAAAGATAGCTTGTTAGCTCTGTTAGCATGTCTGGTGTCAGTCAGTAAAGTTATCACAGCCAAATGTAGCCTGTTAGCAGTAAAGATTCTCCAGCTCCTCGGAAAGACATGTTAATAACTCACATGTTAAAAAGCAGACTCTCCACAGATAGATTTCTGAGAGATGCGCTGATTAAACAGTTACACGTGTTGGTTAGTGAAAGATTAATAATATCATCACACAGGTAAAGGTAGTAGGCTCTGTCTCTGAAGAACCCTGAACATCTGATATACTGTAAATATAACTATGAACTGCTCATGTTGGAAAATGAATCAATAATAACAACAATACTGAGGCAGCTGAGGGGCAGTTTGTTTCAGGGCGGGGCTCAAACTACTTCCTGTTTCTATCTTTAGTCACTCAGGTAACCCCTACCTGCTGGTTGTTGGTGTGTGACCAACAGCACTGTGACATCATAACAACTACAAACATCACATGATTTGTTTACAGACAGCTGTACCTGCACAGGTAGATAGAGCTGTACCAGCACAGGTAGATAGAGCTGTACCTGCACAGGTAGCTACAGCTGTACCTGCACAGGTAGCTACAGCTGTACCTGCACAGGTAGCTACAGCTGTACCTGCACAGGTAGCTACAGCTGTACCTGCACAGGTAGCTAGAGCTGTACCTGCACAGGTAGATAGAGCTGTACCTGCACAGGTAGCTAGAGCTGTAACTGCACAGGTAGATAGAGCTGTACCTGCACAGGTAGATAGAGCTGTACCTGCACAGGTAGCTACAGCTGTACCTGCACAGGTAGCTACAGCTGTACCTGCACAGGTAGCTACAGCTGTACCTGCACAGGTAGCTACAGCTGTACCTGCACAGGTAGATAGAGCTGTACCTGCACAGGTAGATAGAGCTGTACCTGCACAGGTAGATAGAGCTGTACCTGCACAGGTAGATAGAGCTGTACCTGCACAGGTAGCTAGAGCTGTACCTGCACAGGTAGATAGAGCTGTACCTGCACAGGTAGCTAGAGCTGTACCTGCACAGGTAGATAGAGCTGTACCTGCACAGGTAGCTAGAGCTGTACCTGCACAGGTAGATAGAGCTGTACCTGCACAGGTAGATAGAGCTGTACCTGCACAGGTAGATAGAGCTGTACCTGCTAGGGCTGTCCCGAATACCATTTTTCGGGCTCCGGATATTCGGCAGTAATCAGCAGCGAACCGCTTCGACACGTGTATTTCGGTTTATTCACGGCATTCTTTTTGTTATTCTACAGCAGGCATCCTCAAAGTCCGGACCGAACCACAACGGTCTCTGGACTCTGAGCAAATTATACTTTTCATAATATTATCTGTGTCATCTTTGAGACATTGCCACAACTCAACGAGTCAAAACTCTCCGCTATGTCCATAGACTGCAAACAGCGCTCTGCATGTCCGACTGCTCCACTGTGTGTGTGTCTGTCAACGCATTGGTCCAATCACATTCAGCACCCGTCAGCGTTTTCCCCCCAAACAGTCTGCGAATCAGAGGCACAGTAGGGCGGGTCTTCGCGGAATGCGGGTGGGAAAAATACGTGTCGTCTCTTTCAACCTGTCTGAGTCAGAGCGAGAGTTAACAGCTCATCTAGTTGCATCTGTACTGTAGCTAGTAGCCTAGTTTCACCTACCGGGGTGGCAACTGACACCCTAAAAAATAGCCTTGCCACCCCAGCTGCCACCTCAGTTGGCAGCTTTGTTTTGAAAGAAAAGTTGTGGCTCATCGGATGAGAGAAAGTCTCTAATGTCCGAGTGCAAGTGAATGCAGCACAAGACGCGAGTCTTGTAACCCCTCCCTGGCGCGAGCGTTGAAATATGATTGGCGGCGATTTCATTTGACGGCGCAAAACGAGAAGCATTCGGACCCAAGCACTGAAGGAATGAGGTGCGGTACACTGACAGAGAAGAGACTGTCAGTTTGGCTGCACTCAGCATTGAATCAAAACGCACTAAAGCTTTGATCTTAATCAGCTGTGAGGCGTTTTGCTGAACAAGATGGTAATCGCCGCATTCAGCTGTAATAGACATGTCAACTTGATGCTCTGCTCACGGATGAGCATACAAAACTGTTAAGATGATGACCTTACCTTATGTGTGTAAATATATATTTTTTCTTTGTGGGGGTCTGCCCCCAAAAAACAGTTTTAAGTCCTGAGAAAGTCAAATAAGACGGTGTGTAAAACTTCAATGCCCAGCCAACAGAAAGTAACCACTTTGAGTGAACTAGGCCAGAAGGTAAGGACTTTCCACTGGATCATAACTGAGTATAAAAGAATGCATGACTGAAGTGATGGAGACCATGTTGAAGGCAAACACAAAGAGGAAATAACAGGTCAAGCAAATCCCCTCTCAGATTCCACAGCAACCAGAAGAACATAAAGACTGGCTGGTGATTTGATTCATCAGCTTTGTGATGGAATAAAAAATGCACAGTGCATTTCCTTAGCTGTGGGTGAGTCCACTGACACCACTGACAATGCTCAGTTGCTGGTGTTTGTGAGTTTTTATGAAGAGGCAAAGGGGGAGTTTGTTGAAGATGTGTTGGGCCTGACGAACCTCAGTGGACACACAAGGGGCAAGACATTTATAAAGCAATAATGGGAATGCTGAATGAAAGAGGGTGCAGCTGCCTTTACTCATAACTGCAGCTCTTACTCTGCGACTCTGAGGATCAAGCACAGACACAACAACAATGGAAACTGCTGCATACAGAGACTTTTTGTTTTTGCAACCTCGTGTTAAGAATCTTCTTGCAATTGTTTAAAAGTTTGAATGACCGTAATAAACGGACCTTTGTCTTATTGAAACATTTCTTTGGACCTTTAAGATTTGTATTTGAGTACCCCTGATCTACAGTATTGTTTTATAGTTATTAACCCAATTTGTGTTCTTTGAAATTGAAAAGGATACTGCATTGTGTTTGTTACTTTCGTTGCAGTTGTATATGTCGTGTAATTTGGCTTGGCTTCCTATTTTGTATGGACATGCTTTTATTTTGAAGGAGAGTTAGAAGAGCTATGGAAACAATGTGACGGAGATTAATGGAGAAAAAGTCATATCTACATATAAAGACGGAGAAAGTAACCGATAACGTTTATGGTTAAGTGTTAGCACCCCCCGAAGAGGCACAAGCTCTTACGTTGATATTAGAGATTTCAATAAATTAAAAAAATTAAAACGGAAAAAAAAACGAAAATCCGAATAGTACTCCAACGAACGATTATTCGGCTACTCGGGTACAGCCCTAGTACCTGCACAGGTAGATAGAGCTGTACCTGCACAGGTAGATAGAGCTGTACCTGCACAGGTAGAAAGAGGTAGATAGTGAATAACGCGATTAACGCATGTGTATTTTTTGTCCTCGGCCGCCCCGTAGTTTCAGAGCGCATCGAGTTTAAAAATACCATCTACAAACTGATGCTGACAGCCCCGCTTCTGCTGCCCGCTTGCGGCAGACCACACTTCCACGCTCACCGGCAGGCACTGACTGGCCATCGGGAGGACCAGGAGGTGTGTGTGTGGCACGAGAGAGAACGGGCACACCTTACGTGTATTGTTGTTGTTAGCATCTGGTGCTAGCTACCATCATGATGAAGTGTTTTGAGAGGCTGGTAAAGAACCATATCGTCTCCATACTTCCCCCCACACTTGACCAGTTCCAGTTTGCTTACCACCCTAACCGCTCTACAGAGGACGCTATCTCCTCTGCGCTCCATGTGAGCCCACCTGGAGGAGAAGAACACCCATGTGCGAATGCTGTTCCTGGATTTCAGCTCAGCGTTCAACACAATCATCCCCCAGCATCTGGTAAACAAACTGGGACCCCTGGGACTCAACACACCCCTGTGTAACTGGCTGCTGGGTTTCCTAATAGAGAGACCCCAGTATGTTCGGGTTGGTAACAACACCTCCAGCACCATCACCTTAAACACCGGCTCCCGCAGGGCTGCGTTCTGAGTCCACTGCTTTTCACCCTGATGACCCACGACTGCTGCTCCAGGTTCAGTACCAACTAGGGGTGTAACGGTACACGTACCCGTACCGAAATTATTCGGTACGGGCCCTTCGGTTCGGTACAGGTGTGTACCGAAGTGTACCGAACGAATATAACGTTAAACGTAAAAAATTGAGAACGTGAATAACTTTTTGGAAGTAATCTCAGGTGCTGCGTCGCAGCATTCAGAGTAATTTGCTCACATTGGGTTCAACGCGTCATAGAGCGAGCAAGTCATTTCATTGGATGAGAGGCATACTATGAGAGCTGGTCAGAGGGATGCGTTCAAATGTAGTCAGTAATTTGAGGAACTGTCAAAAATTAATGGCGAACGCAGATAAAGTTGAGCTCGAAAATCCTCCAGCATCATTGAAGTCTCCGGTTTGGGAACATTTTGGTTTCGCAGTTACGTACAAGGATGACGGACAAAGACAGGTGGACCGAACCAAAGCTGTTTGTCGGCATTGTTCAACTAAAATTGGTTACGCGGCTGGCAATACATCAAACTTGCACACTCATTTGAAAAGGCATCACCCGAACGTGAATATCACCGGTACCAAAAGAAAAAAGACTGAAGTGCAAACCCAACTCCCGCTAGCATTTAAGCCTCCACCACTCGCAACAAGTTCAGACCGAGCCAAAGCTATTACAAACGCCTAATATCCTTATGTTGCCATGTTAGCAAAGCGCTACCTGGCTGTATCGGCTACCTCTGTCCCTAGCGAGAGGGTTTTCTCCACATCAGGAGACATTGTTAGTGCCAGCAGATCTGCCCTTTCAGCAAGCAATGTGGACAAGTTAATTTTTATTTAAAAAAACATGAAAATACAATGACAAGCAAGTCCTAATGTGAAACTGGCTACTTAGGTGCTAGTACAGTAGGCTACAGTTCAAATACAGATTATTTCAGTTCATCGAAATGCTGCACCTTAATGTTCATTTTATTATATTTTGTATTTATTTGAGTGAATATTCACAGTTTAATAATAATTAAAAACCCAAAACTAATAGTTTATGTTTTGTGAGTACTAGTACAGTAAAGTTCAAATACAGATTATTTCAGTTCATCGAAATGCTGCACCTTAATGTTTATTTTATTATATTTTGTATTTATTTGAGTGAATACATTATTCACAGTTTAATAATAATAATAATAAAAAAATATATATATATGTTTTTGTTTTGTGAAAAAAAATTCTGCTGTACCGAACCGTGACCAAAAAAACCGAGGTACGTATCCGAACCGAAATGTTTGTGAACCGTTACACCCCTAGTACCAACCACATCATAAAGTACGCGGACGATACGACAGTGGTGGGACTCATCAGGGACAACAAGGAACAGGCCTACAGGGAGGAGGTGAAACATCTGACAGACTGGTGTAACATCAACAACCTAATCCTGAATGTTGATAAAACAAAAGAGATCATTGTCGACTTCAGGAACAAAAAGTCACCACTCCACATCAACGGCACAGCAGTGAAGACTACAGACAGCACCAAGCAGTCTGACCTGGTCCACTCACACTACATCACTATTTAAGAAGGCACAGCAGCGCCTACACTTCCTGCGCAGCTCCCCCCTCCCTTCCTCACCACGCTCTACAGAGGAACCATAGAGAGCGTGCTGACCATCTCCATCTGGTCGAGAGACTGCAACGAAACACCAGGAGTGCAGCTGCTGTTCTTCACAGATCCCTCACAAATGAATTGAGCAAGTCACTAGTTTCTTGGTCATCCGTTGACTCCCTTTCAAATGTGGGTTTTCTTGACCTTTGTGCTGACCCCCACCATAGATCCACGGGCCCTTCAGCATTGAAGTCTTGACCTCTGTGCTGACCCCCACCATAGATCCACTGGCCTTTCAGCATTGAAGTCTTGACCTTTGTGCTGACCCCCACTATAGATCCACGGGCCCTTCAGCATTGAAGTCTTGACCTCTGCTGACCCCCACCATAGATCCACGGGCCCTTCAGCATTGAAGTCTTGACCTCTGTGCTGACCCCCACCATAGATCCACTGGCCTTTCAGCATTGAAGTCTTGACCTTTGTGCTGACCCCCACCATAGATCCACTGGCCTTTCAGCATTGAAGTCTTGACCTTTGTGCTGACCCTCACCATAAATCCACTGGCCCTTCAGCATTGAAGTCTTGACCTCTGTGCTGACCCCCACCATAGATCCACTGGCCCTTCAGCATTGAAGTCTTGACCTCTGTGCTGACCCCCACCATAAATCCACTGGCCCTTCAGCATTGAAGTCTTGACCTCTGTGCTGACCCCCACCATAGATCCACTGGCCCTTCAGCATTGAAGTCTTGACCTCTGTGCTGACCCCCACCATAGATCCACTGGCCCTTCAGCATTGAAGTCTTGACCTCTGTGCTGACCCCCACCATAGATCCACTGGCCCTTCAGCATTGAAGTCTTGACCTCTGTGCTGACCCCCACCATAGATCCACTGGCCCTTCAGCATTGAAGTCTTGACCTCTGTGCTGACCCCCACCATAGATCCACTGGCCCTTCAGCATTGAAGTCTTGACCTCTGTGCTGACCCCCACCATAGATCCACTGGCCTTTCAGCATTGAAGTCTTGACCTTTGTGCTGACCCCCACCATAGATCCACTGGCCTTTCAGTATTGAAGTCTTGACCTTTGTGCTGACCCTCACCATAAATCCACTGGCCCTTCAGCATTGAAGTCTTGACCTCTGTGCTGACCCCCACCATAGATCCACTGGCCCTTCAGCATTGAAGTCTTGACCTCTGTGCTGACCCCCACCATAAATCCACTGGCCCTTCAGCATTGAAGTCTTGACCTCTGTGCTGACCCCCACCATAGATCCACTGGCCCTTCAGCATTGAAGTCTTGACCTCTGTGCTGACCCCCACCATAGATCCACTGGCCCTTCAGCATTGAAGTCTTGACCTCTGTGCTGACCCCCACCATAGATCCACTGGCCCTTCAGCATTGAAGTCTTGACCTCTGTGCTGACCCCCACCATAGATCCACTGGCCCTTCAGCATTGAAGTCTTGATTGGCCAGACTAATACATTTGTAATGTTTAATAAATGAAAACCATTCACAGTGAAGAATTAGATATTAATTATTAATGCTGTAAATTACCTTCAATGTGTCAAACTATATTTAACATGTGTTACCTTTTTATAGAAGTCATTATATTTGTATGCCAATATTTTTCTATGGTAAAGTTTCGTTTACCACTTTTATTTTGGTAGTAATAAGATCGGGACTCTTATTTTGAAGAAACTTTTACCGGAAGTGAATGGACAATGGAGCAGAATGTTTTGCCTCCCAAGACTTTACACATTTCCTCTGTGCTTTTCGTTCGGGTTCATCTTGATCTCTATCAGTTGAATCACTTTGAACATTGGTCTGAGATGTTGACGGGTTGGCCGAACTTTTTACCCCACAGTCAAACAACTTAATTTGCTTCGCCATTTTTTGTAAAACAAACACATGGCGCACGCGATAAACGTGCATGGCTTTCTGGCTCCGTAATCACACCAATGCACGTGCAACTTAAGTCTCAGGTTCCGACTGGTCACAACAAATAATTAACATTTATCTATTTTGGGGTGCACATTTTGCTGTTTGCTGTCCTTATTTCTTCGTTAGAAACTGGTTGCCAGCAGTGGCCAAGAAGTGGTTGACATTTTTTCTGAATGGTTGCCAATGGCAACCTGGCAACCATTACTGTCGAGCCCTGCACACACTTTGTATTGTATTATTGTATTGTATGAGAGAGGTTCCAGGTTGTCCACTCATATGTTGATAAGAGTATTAAAAACTTGAAAAATATCCCTCTAAGGAACATTTAGAACAGATAAAAAATGTGCGATTAACTATTTTAGTCGACTGACAGCCCTAATACATACACCTGTGTGTATGTATATATATATGTGTGTGTGTGTAATAATAAAACAGGGCTTTAGCTGCTTATGGTGCAAAAGCTGCTGTGTTGATGACATCACTTCCTGTCCCACAGATGTACGCCTGGGAGATCGCGGACCAGTTGCTGCAGCTGAAGCAGGACGTGGAGTCTTGTTACTTCGCTGCTCAGACCATGAAGATGAAGATCCAGACGTCCTTCTACGAGCTTCCCCCCGAGACCCACAATGCACTGCGAGACTCTCTGCTGACCCACATCCAGAACCTCAAAGACCTGTCGCCCATCATCGTCACACAGGTAACCACTTCCTCTACAGGCAAAGATAACTAGTTCCTCTACAGGTAAAGATAACTAGTTCCTCTACAGGTAAAGATAACTATTTCCTCTACAGGTAAAGATAACTAGTTCCTCTACAGGCAAAGATAACTAGTTCCTCTACTGGTAAAGATAACTAGTTCCTCTACAGGTAAAGATAACTAGTTCCTCTACAGGTAAATATAACTAGTTCCTCTACAGGTAAATATAACTAGTTCCTCTACAGGTAAAGATAACTAGTTCCTCTACAGGTAAAGATAACTAGTTCCTCTACAGGTAAAGATAACTAGTTCCTCTACTGGTAAAGATAACTAGTTCCTCTACAGGTAAAGATAACTAGTTCCTCTACTGGTAAAGATAACTAGTTCCTCTACAGGTAAAGATAACCACTTCCTCTACAGGTAAAGATAACTAGTTCCTCTACAGGTAAAGATAACTAGTTCCTCTACATGTAAAGATAACTAGTTCCTCTACATGTAAAGATAACTAGTTCCTCTACAGGTAAAGATAACCAGTTCCTCTACAGGCGAAGATAACTAGTTCCTCTACAGGTAAAGATACATAGTTCCTCTACATGTAAAGATAACTAGTTCCTCTACAGGTAAAGATAACCACTTCCTCTACAGGCAAAGATAACTAGTTCCTCTACAGGCAAAGATAACTAGTTCCTCTACAGGTAAAGATAACTAGTTCCTCTACAGGTAAAGATAACTAGTTCCTCTACAGGTAAAGATAACTAGTTCCTCTACTGGTAAAGATAACTAGTTCCTCTACTGGTAAAGATAACTAGTTCCTCTACTGGTAAAGATAACTAGTTCCTCTACAGGTAAAGATAACTAGTTCCTCTACAGGTAGAGATAACTAGTTCCTCTACAGGTAAAGATAACTAGTTCCTCTACTGGTAAAGATAACTAGTTCCTCTACAGGTAGAGATAACTAGTTCCTCTACAGGTAGAGATAACTAGTTCCTCTACAGGTAAAGATAACTAGTTCCTCTACAGGTAGAGATAACTAGTTCCTCTACAGGTAAAGATAACTAGTTCCTCTACAGGTAGAGATAACTAGTTCCTCTACAGGTAAATATAACTAGTTCCTCTACTGGTAAAGATAACTAGTTCCTCTACTGGTAAAGATAACTAGTTCCTCTACTGGTAAATATAACTAGTTCCTCTACAGGTAAAGATAACTAGTTCCTCTACTGGTAAAGATAACTAGTTCCTCTACAGGTAGAGATAACTAGTTCCTCTACAGGTAAATATAACTAGTTCCTCTACAGGTAAAGATAACTAGTTCCTCTACTGGTAAAGATAACTAGTTCCTAGATAACTAGTTCCTCTACTGGTAAAGATAACTAGTTCCCTTTTTAAAGGTAACACTTGCACACTTGTTTTCTATCTTGTGACACGTTGGTTGCATCAGCTGCTGGTTTCAGTGAGGATGAAGTCAACAAAACAAAAAGGAAGTGTTGAAACTGAAACTAAGTGAGGTTTATTGATGCAGTTAATCAAAGTGTCTCTGCATCTCTTTCCTGATGTTTTTATTCTGCTATTCCTCAGCTGGCTCTAGCTATAGCAGATCTGGCTCTCCAGATGGCCTCCTGGAAGGGATGTGTTCACACACTCATAGAAAAGTAAGAATTCACACGACTTCACAGCAGAAAGACAACACAGAGATAACACAAACTTCACCTGCACTGATGTTGATCTGTAAGAAGGTGTGTCCTGACTCACCTGTCCGTATCCCCCCCCCCCCAGGTACAACAATGACATCAGCTCGATGCCCTTCCTCATAGAGATCCTCACCGTTCTGCCGGAGGAGGTCCACAGCCGCTCTCTGAGGATCGGAGCCAACCGGAGGACGGAAATCATCGAAGACCTGGCGTACTACTCCAGCACCGTGGTCACGCTGCTGGTCAGTAATAATATATATATATATATATATATATATTTACGCCCTTTGTTTAAATATAGTGTCAGACTCGCTCTAACCCCACTGCTGGGTTTGTTTCAGACTTCCTGTGTGGAGAAGGCAGGCACGGAGGAGAAGATGCTGATTAAAGTGTTTCGCTGTCTGGGGAGCTGGTTCAACCTGGGAGTCCTGGACAGCAATTTCATGGCCGGGAACCAGCTGCTCATGGTCCTCTTCCAAGTCCTGGTGAGTAACACTGATAACCCTAATCTCTGAACCCCCTGGAAACGTGTGCTTCCTGTTGGATGTCCATGAAAGACGTTTACATACAGAAAGGCTGTGGTGGATTCAGAAGATAAAGCTCCTGATGGGTCCGTTGGTCCTGTCTCTAACGGACATGTTGCTTCTGTGTTTCACAGCAGAGGGATGAAACCTCCACAAACCTCCACGAGGCGGCGTCTGACTGCGTCTGCTCGGCGCTGTACGCCATCGAGAACGTGGACACCAACATGGGTCTGGCCCTGCAGCTCTTCCAGGGCGTCCTGACGCTGGAGACGGCGTACCACATGGCGGTGGCTCGGGAAGACCTGGACAAGTGAGGACCAACTGGAAACTGATTCTGATTGTGCTTAGAACCATTATCAGCCCCACTCACTCTGACCTCTTTCTTCAGAGTCCTGAACTACTGCCGGATCTTCACCGAGCTCTGCGAGACCTTCCTGGAGACCACAGTCCGGAGTCCGGGCCAGGGGATGGGAGACCTGCGGACCCTGGAGTTGCTGCTGATCTGTGCAGGACACCCGCAATACGAGGTACAAATACACCAATAAAATCGCAGTTTCACGGTGCGTTCAAATGTTATTACATTCTTAGTTCTATCCTTCGTTTTTACATTTGGGTCTCTGTTCTGATACAGGTGGTGGAGATCTCCTTTAACTTCTGGTACCGACTCGGAGAACATCTGTATAAAATAAACGATACCGCTCTTCACACCATCTTCAGACCATACATCCAGAGACTTCTGCACTGTTTGGCCCGACACTGTCAGCTGGACCCAGACCACGTGAGTCCATCAGAACCACCTCTGATCCTCCACTTCCTGTTTAACCTGTTAAACCCCAAGGTCCCCGTCGGCGGGGACCCTGGGTTTTTTTTTCACGACACTGTCTCAGGGCATCTTAATATTTAAGAACCTATTAATGTGTTATACCAGATTAACGGAAATAATCTCAGCTAACTGACGATACAAACTATTTTTACCAAAACACAAGTCTCATAAGAAGCATCTAAATGGCCCCTTAGCGAAAAATGCTAACGGACATTGGCACAGAACTCAAGATAAAAGTACCCTTATTACTTATCGTAGCTGCACATACAAGATATCCGATTAAAGCTGAGGTTCCACAGATTATTTAGGTATATAGTATCATCACTGAGTGATCCGGACTCGCGACAGGGGAAGCAAACACATACATCACAACACGTACCTTTACGGAGCTTCTAGGGAGATCGCCTCACCGTAGCGTCAATCTGATCAAAAGACGTGTTCAATGGCATTAAAACCAGAAAAAACGTGGCTGAATCGGTTAATCCATAGGTTTTTAACGTCTCTGTATAAAAAAATTATTTAATTTATAATCCATAATTCCATTTTTATGTAAAAATCGGAGAGCAAAAGTTAGCTACTAATGGTAGCCATCAGAGTGGCTGCTGCTTCCGGTCTAGGCTATGCGGCAGTCTAAAACACACACATTACCAAATAAGGACTATGTGGGAGTTCCCCTCGATTCTATTGGCTCCGACGGTCAGGAAGAGATGTCACATGTCAAAATCCAGCAAGGTGGGCCAGAGATATGGAAAATCCACCCAAATGGCCCCAGAAGAGGTTTTTGTTTGCTAAATCTGTCTAAAAAGGTCAAATATCACTTGTTTTGCATCAATGTTGATACAGGGTACTTAGTATATGTTGTACGTTGGATTCCTAAAGCTTTTAGTCTACTAACCCATCATCCAAGGTTAGTTTTCACTATAAGTACAAAATATATTTTGGACGGACACTATAATTTACAGTTTTTTTACTATGTTCAATCTGAATTTTCTTTAAACTATAAAACATCTATATTGATTCTGACTTTTCTACATCCAACTCACAGGTTTATCATTGCTTTGAGAAAAAAGATTATTAATTTAACCCTTTTAGAAGATATGGTCATTTGTTCTGGGAATGTCATTTTCTAGCCTGAAACCTGAAAAACAGGCTCGGGGCTAAACAGGTTAAGAACCATGCGTAGGGTCAAGAGAAACGGTCTTTAGTCTGGATTAGACACCAGACTTCAGTGGTTTTGGTTCTGTTCCTTGGTTGTGGGTAATTGTGAATTATCTGGTTGTGTAACTGGTTCTGACCCAACAGGAGGGGATCCCGGAGGATACGGATGATTTTGGAGAGTTCAGGATGAGAGTCTCAGACCTCGTCAAAGACGTCATTTTTCTGGTTGGATCCATGGAGTGTTTCTCTCAGGTACCTGAAACAGTGCTGTTCCTCCTACTCTAAAGATGTTCTGTTCCTCCTACTCTAAAGATGTTCTGTACCTCCTACTCTAAAGATGTTCTGTTCCTCCTACTCTAAAGATGTTCTGTACCTCCTACTCTAAAGATGTGCTGTTCCTCCTACTCTAAAGATGTTCTGTACCTCCTACTCTAAAGATGTTCTGTTCCTCCTACTCTAAAGATGTTCTGTTCCTCCTACTCTAAAGATGTTCTGTACCTCCTACTCTAAAGATGTTCTGTACCTCCTACTCTAAAGATGTTCTGTACCTCTTACTCTAAAGATGTTCTGTACCTCCTACTCTAAAGATGTTCTGTTCCTCCTACTCTAAAAATGTTCTGTACCTCCTACTCTAAAGATGTTCTGTACCTCCTACTCTAAAGATGTTCTGTTCCTCCTACTCTAAAGATGTTCTGTACCTCCTACTCTAAAGATGTTCTGTTCCTCCTACTCTAAAGATGTTCTGTACCTCCTACTCTAAAGATGTTCTGTTCCTCTTATTCTAAAGATGTTCTGTACCTCCTACTCTAAAGATGTTCTGTACCTCCTACTCTAAAGATGTTCTGTTCCTCCTACTCTAAAGATGTTCTGTTCCTCCTACTCTAAAGATGTTCTGTACCTCCTACTCTAAAGATGTTCTGTACCTCCTACTCTAAAGATGTTCTGTTCCTCCTACTCTAAAGATGTTCTGTACCTCCTACTCTAAAGATGTTCTGTTCCTCCTACTCTAAAGATGTTCTGTACCTCCTACTCTAAAGATGTTCTCTGTTGTTCTCAGTTGTATTCGACATTAAAAGAAGGGAACCCGTCCTGGGAGGTGACAGAGGCCGTTCTGTTCATCATGGCTGCGATTGCTAAGAGCGTTGATCCGTGAGTTTTTTGCTTTATGGTCAGAGAGTCATCAGAGCATATTTATATGATGAATGATCTCTGGATCTGGTTCTGTGATGATGATTAATCTGTGGTTGTGGTTCTGCAGAGAAAACAACCCCACGCTCGCCGAGGTTTTGCAGCAGGTGGTCTTACTTCCTGAGACGGTACACATAGCAGTCCGATTCACGAGCATTGAGCTGGTGGGAGAGATGAGCGAAGTGGTCGACAGAAACCCCAGGTTCCTCGGTAAGGGTTCTCCGTCTGAATCTAAAACCTGTTAGACCTGAAGTACCCGATGATAGGACTTTTATTTTGTGTGTTTGCTCTTCCTGTCAGACCCCGTCCTGAACTACCTGATGAAAGGACTCAGGGAACAGCCTCTGGCGTCGGCGGCGGCGAAGTCGATCCACAACATTTGCTCAGTGTGCAGAGACCACATGGCCCAACACTTCCAGGGACTGCTGGACATCGCCCGGGCCCTTGACACCTTCGCCCTATCCACCGAGGCTGCCGTAGGACTGCTCAAAGGTGCGTGAGGGCTCACAATGTTTTTTATTTACCTGTACAGGTGGGTCACAATTGGTTAGGGTTACAGGTAGATCTCTCTCTGGTTCTCAGGTGTTTTACTGTGTTTGTTTACCTGTACAGGTAGAGCTCAGAGGCCTGTACTACGAAGCTGGTTCAACCTAACCTGGATGTGTTTGAGTTAGCCGGTTGGCCTAATCCAAAACATACCCGCTCTCGCTAAACTGTCCTACGACGCGGGTTATCAAGTGGATCGCTCAAGCCAGCCGTGTCCTATCTAGTTAGGTGCGCGTTCACATGAGAGGGGTGGTATCTGGAGCATTCGACCAATCACAGACATGGAGAAGCGCACTGACAGCGCAGCATCATACTTCCTGAATGAAAAGTCAACTATAATATTAGACATATGAAGAAGTTAAAGTTTAAACATCCATGACTTAAACACTTGACCCAGGATCAAAGCCACAGAGCTGCACCTGCAAGGTGAACACAGCTGGGAACAGAACAAGTGTTTGAATGCGTACATTAACAGCTTTATGATATCACTGCCCGTCTAAGACACCATCTGACTTTCATTACATTTGACTCCAGTGTTTCCTCAACTTAATGTGTTGCTTAAAATAATCCTTCTGCATCCAGTCTGTGACGCTGTGAGTGTTGCACGGCCAGATACGGCTCAGCTGACTCAGATCAGGAGATGATACATTATGAAGTGATATGGACTGTACTTAATGTGACTCTGATCCGGTTACTTATGTTGTGGCAGATATTTCAGTAAGCTTTCTTAACGCTAATGTTATAATAGTCAGAATGCTCTGAAGATGGAGGTGATATTCTATTCATGTTCACGTTCACACAGTCGCTGATTTTTGCCGGCCGTCTTTCCTGCAACGGCAGCTTTTCTGTATTTCCTTTCTCCTGTAATATGACTTGATCGCTTTAAACTCCGCACACTGAGCTCTGATTGGTCAGCAGGCGGTGCTTTCACTGAGTTGAGCTCTTAGCCTGCAACCTAACCTGCTCCGGACCAGGTTAGCCGCTCAGCATCAGTTACCATGGAGATCTAGCCGCTAAAAAGAGAACCAGCTTCGTAGGACCGGAAACCCAGAGTTAACCTGAAGTTAGCCGCTAAGAGAACATCCGGCTTCGTAGTACAGGCCTCAGGTCCTCAGCTGTGTTTGTTTACCTGTACAGGTACGGCTCTGGTCTTGGCTCGTCTTCCCTTGGAGAAGATCGCAGAGTGTCTTTCTGACCTCTGTGCTGTTCAGGTGTTGGCTCTTAAAAAGGTGAGTCTCCCCCACCCCGCAGGTAAATTCCGAATTAAAACAATGTCTAAACTAATCTGGAATTTGTTTCAGCTTTTGTCTGAAGAATCTACTAACGGTAAATCAGCTGACCCCACCGTGTGGCTCGACAGACTGGCAGTTATCTTCAGGTGAGCTTACCTGTGGTCACATTTATAACTTAAGTGACGGCATTATAAATAATAATAATATACATTAAAGAAGCCACAGACCTTTAACCTGTTGTTTTTCCTTTCAGACACACAAACCCCATCGTAGAGAATGGACAGACTCATCCCTGTCAGAAAGTCATTCAGGAGGTAAACACCTGAGCTTTCCTGAAGCCACCGGAGTCCTTTAATATCTACTCATAAAACCTATGTTATTAAATAACTAACCTTGATCACGTTGATCAGATGGTGTCAGACCTCGATGAACTTATCTCAACTGTGTATAATATCTCACCTGTAATGTATGATATCTCTCACCTGTGCTCTCATCTGTGTGTATGATATCTCTCACCTGTGCTCTCACCTGTGTGTATGATATCTCTCACCTGTGTGTATGATATCTCTCACCTGTGCTCTCACCTGTAATGTATGATATCTCTCACCTGTGCTCTCACCTGTGTGTATGATATCTCTCACCTGTGCTCTCATCTCTGTGTATGATATCTCTTACCTGTGCTCTCATCTGTGTGTATGATATCTCTCACCTGTGCTCTCATCTGTGTGTATGATATCTCTCACCTGTGCTCTCATCTGTGTGTATGATATCTCTCACCTGTGCCTCTCATCTGTGTGTATGATATATCTCAGCTGTGCTCTCACCTGTGTGTATATCTCTCATCTGTGTGTATGATATCTCATCTGTGTGTATGATATCTCTCACCTGTGTGTATGATATCTCTCACCTGTGTGTATGATATCTCTCACCTGTGCTCTCATCTGTGTGTATGATATCTCACCTATCTCTCATCTGTGTGTATATCTCTCATCTGTGTGTATGATATCTCACCTATCTCTCATCTGTGTGTATATCTCTCATCTGTGTGTATGATATCTCTCACCTATCTCTCATCTGTGTGTATGATATATCTCATCTGTGTGTATATCTCTCACCTATCTCTCATCTGTGTGTATAGCTCTCATCTGTGTATATCTCTCATCTGTGTGTATGATATCTCTCATCTGTGTGTATGATATCTCTCATCTGTGTGTATGATATCTCTCATCTGTGTGTATGATATCTCTCACCTGTGTGTATGATATCTCTCATCTGTATGATATCTCTCACCTATCTCTCATCTGTGTGTATATCTCTCATCTGTGTGTATGATATCTCTCACCTGTGCTCTCATCTGTGTGTATGATATCTCTCACCTGTGCCTCTCATCTGTGTGTATGATATATCTCAGCTGTGCTCTCACCTGTGTGTATATCTCTCATCTGTGTGTATGATATCTCATCTGTGTGTATGATATCTCTCACCTGTGTGTATGATATCTCTCACCTGTGTGTATGATATCTCTCACCTGTGCTCTCATCTGTGTGTATGATATCTCACCTATCTCTCATCTGTGTGTATATCTCTCATCTGTGTGTATGATATCTCACCTATCTCTCATCTGTGTGTATATCTCTCATCTGTGTGTATGATATCTCTCACCTATCTCTCATCTGTGTGTATGATATATCTCATCTGTGTGTATATCTCTCACCTATCTCTCATCTGTGTGTATAGCTCTCATCTGTGTATAGCTCTCATCTGTGTGTATGATATCTCTCATCTGTGTGTATGATATCTCTCATCTGTGTGTATGATAGCTCTCATCTGTGTGTATGATATCTCTCATCTGTGTGTATGATATCTCTCATCTGTGTGTATGATATCTCTCATCTGTGTGTATGATATCTCATCTGTGTGTATATCTCTCACCTATCTCTCATCTGTGTGTATAGCTCTCATCTGTGTATATCTCTCATCTGTGTGTATGATATCTCTCATCTGTGTGTATGATATCTTTCATCTGTGTGTATGATATCTCTCATCTGTGTGTATGATATCTCTCACCTGTGTGTATGATATCTCTCATCTGTATGATATCTCTCACCTATCTCTCATCTGTGTGTATGATATCTCATCTGTGTGTATGATATCTCTCATCTGTGTGTATGATATCTCATCTGTGTGTATGATATCTCTCATCTGTGTGTATGATATCTCTCATCTGTGTGTATGTATATATCTCATCTGTGTGTATGATATCTCATCTGTGTATGATATCTCTCACCTGTGTGTATGATATCTCTCACCTATCTCATCTGTGTGTATGATATCTCTCACCTGTGTGTATGATATCTCTCATCTGTGTGTATGATATCTCATCTGTGTATGATATCTCTCACCTGTGTGTATGATATCTCTCACCTATCTCATCTGTGTGTATGATATCTCTCACCTGTGTATGATATTTCTCACCTGTGCCTCATCTGTGTGTATGATATATCTCATCTGTGTGTATGATATCTCATCTGTGTATGATATCTCTCACCTGTGTGTATGATATCTCTCACCTATCTCATCTGTGTGTATGATGTCTCTCACCTGTGTGTATGATATCTCTCACCTGTGTGTATGATATCTCTCACCTGTGCCTCATCTGTGTGTATGATATCTCTCACCTGTGTGTATGATATCTCTCACCTGTGTGTATGATATCTCTCACCTGTGTGTATGATATCTCTCATCTGTGTGTATGCTATCTCTCACCTGTGCTCTCTCACCTGTGTGTATGATATTGCTCACCTATCTCATCTGTGTGTATGCTATCTCTCATCTGTGTGTATGATATCTCTCACCTGTGTGTATGATATCTCTCACCTGTGCTCTCATCTGTGTATGATATCTCTCATCTGTGTGTATGATATCTCTCACCTGTGTGTATGATATCTCTCATCTGTGTGTATGATATCTCTCACCTGTGTGTATGATATATCTCATCTGTGTGTATGATATCTCTCACCTGTGTGTATGATTTCTCTCACCTGTGTGTATGATATCTCTCACCTGTGTGTATGATATCTCTCACCTCTGTGTATGATATCTCTCACCTGTGTGTATGATATCTCTCACCTGTGTGTATGATATCTCTCATCTGTGTGTATGCTATCTCTCACCTGTGCTCTCTCACCTGTGTGTATGATATCGCTCACCTATCATCTGTGTGTATGCTATCTCTCATCTGTGTGTATGATATCTCTCATCTGTGTGTATGATATCTCTCACCTGTGTGTATGATATCTCTCACCTGTGCTCTCATCTGTGTATGATATCTCTCATCTGTGTGTATGATATCTCTCACCTGTGTGTATGATATCTCTCATCTGTGTGTATGATATATCTCACCTGTGTGTATGATATCTCTCATCTGTGTGTATGATATCTCTCACCTGTGTGTATGATATCTCTCATCTGTGTGTATGATATATCTCACCTGTGTGTATGATTTCTCTCACCTGTGTGTATGATATCTCTCACCTGTGTGTATGATATCTCTCATCTGTGTGTATGATATCTCTCATCTGTGTGTATGATATCTCTCACCTGTGTGTATGCTATATCTCAGCTGTCTGTAAAATATCTCGCCCGTAGATCTGGCCCGTGCTGTCAGACACTCTGAACACTCATCAGGCTGATAACAGGATCGTGGAGCGCTGCTGTCGCTGTCTCAGGTTCGCTGTGAGGTGTGTCGGCAAGGGATCCGCCAACCTGCTGCAGCCACTCGTCACGCAGGTGAGACACACCTGTCCACGGTTTAGAACTAACACACCTGTCCCGGTTTAGAACTAACACAACCTGTTCCCACGGTTTAGAACTAACACACCTGTCCACGGTTTAGAACTAACACACCTGTGTGCTGTCTATTGTCACCAGATGGTGAGTGTGTACCAGGTGTATCCACACTCCTGCTTCCTGTACCTTGGGAGCATTCTGGTGGACGAGTACGGAATGGAGGAGGGCTGTAGGCAGGGCCTGCTCGACATGCTACAGGTAACACACAGACAACACGCCTGTAGACCAGGTACACACACGCCTGTAGACCAGGTACACACAGCGCCTGTAGAACCAGGTAAACACACACACACAGATACACGCCTGTAGACCAGGTACACACACAGACACACGCCTGTAAACCAGGTACACACACATGCCTGTAGACCAGTACAGACACACACCTGTAGACCAGGTACAACACACATACACATGCCTGTAGACCAGGAACACACACGCCTGTAGACCAGGAACACACACGCCTGTAGACCAGGAACACACACGCCTGTAGACCAGGTACACACACGCCTGTAGACCAGGTACACACACGCCTGTAGACCAGGTACACACACGCCTGTAGACCAGGTACACACACGCCTGTAGACCAGGTACACACACAGACACACAGACACACGCCTGTAGACCAGGTACAACAGACACACGCCTGTAGACCAGGTACACATACACAGACACACGCCTGTAGAACAGGTACACACACACACACACACCTGGACTACACAGGTACACACACACACACCTGGACTACACAGGTACACACACCTATAGACCAGGTAAACACACGCCACACCTACAGACTCTCCTGATGACCCCCCCTTCAGGCTCTGTGCATGCCGACCTTCCAGCTGCTGGAGATGCAGAACGGTCTGAGGAACCATCCGGGACACCGTGGACGACCTGTTCAGACTGGCCACCAGGTAAAGCCCGTCACATCTACCTGTCTCACTGACATCCACCCGTCTGTCTGATATTTACCTGTCTGATCTGTGTGTGTCAGGTTTGTGCAGAGGAGTCCGGTCACGTTGCTCAGCAGCAGCATCATCGTTCACATCATCCAGTGCGCCGTGGCAGCAGCGTCTCTGGACCACCGCGACGCAAACTGCAGCGTCATGAAGTTCATGAGAGACCTGATCCACACGGGGGTCTCCAACGATGTGAGTAGCCTTCAGGAACCAGGTGTAGAGACGGACGAAGGGACGGGTCTAGGGAGTTAGTGAGTAATATGTGTATGAAGTTCATGAGACCTGATTCACACGGGGGTCTCCACCTTCAGGAACCAGGTGTAGAGACAGTGAGTAATATGTGTGTGCAGGGCTCGACATTATAAATGGCCCGCTGGCCCGGAAGCACTATTTAGACACACCGAGCCAGCATAACATACTTTCCACTTGCCTGCTCGGGCCACTAAAAATATTGCTTTAAAAAAAAAAAGTGGTATTGGTATTTTGACTAGCAATGTTGTTGAATTGTTTTGTTTATCAACGCTACAACATAGCGTTTCGTGAGTCGGTTGTCGTTGTTGGGTGAGAAGCAAAAGGCTGTTTGCTGCAGAGCACAGCGCGAGCAGGCTCCCATGAGCGGGAGCCTGCTCCTTCACTACAGACTATCGCGCCACTTAACCATTCGCCAAAATGTTTTTAATACCAGCGATAATAACCGACCAAGCGCCGGGCAAAAAACAATCTTCAAATAAAAGAAAGTCACCGGAGGAGTTAAAGGAGAGTGACAGGGAGCATGAGAAGAAGAGGGAGAGAAAGTTTCAGCTTGATGGATGGAGTTGGCTTCTAGTGGTGACGCATCCTAAAACCCATCGATTAGATTTATGATTAGAAAATTATAAAAGTAGGAGATTATCCGGCTGAACAAAACGTGCATTTATCAAACAGGTTTGTTTTCCACAGACCTTATTTCCAGCTATTTTCCAAAACCCTGTGGAGAAATCTCATTGCTTTCTGTCGAGGGAACCAGCAGCTTACTTCCTGGTTTCAGGATGCGTCACTGCACCTCTCAATATGATGATATAAACAAGGTCTTCTGTCGGCTCTGTACATCAATGCCGACCTATGCTGACAGTAAGTGAAGAATAGAAAATAAAGGTATTGGCTTTAGGGAAATGTCCCAGCAGTTTAGGAGAATGAAGGCTCTAATCTATTACAGCCATTACATTTCTAACTCCTGATGACAGGAAGGCAGAAAGTGCATTATACAAATAATAATACTCATAATAGCAGACATTTTTTAGCAATGACCACAATATCATTATTTTAATAAACCAAATATGAACAATTGAGGAAAATGAGGAAGAACTGATGATTCAAATGTTGTAGTACAAGTAATAATGTAGTTAGTGCATAAATTACTATGGCAACAAATGTGTTCATTTTCTTCATTATTAGTCGATTTTTTTTTTGGATGAATGCTCCGGGCCAGTGGTTACAATGGTGGGGCCAGTGATAATACAAGTCCACCGGCCCGGAGGGCCAGTGGCATTTTACCCTTAATGTCTACCCCTGGTGTGTGTGCAGCACGAGGAGGACTTTGAGCTGAGGAAGCAGCTGATTGGCCAGGCCATGGGGCAGCACGGCCAGCAGCTGATCACCCAGCTGATGACTTCCTGCTGTTTCTGCCTCCCCCCCTACACCCTGCCCGACGTGGCCGAGGTGCTGTGGGAGGTGATGCTGTTCGACCGTCCGGTGAGTGGGGGGGTTATTATCAGTACATATAGTCAGGGGGGGTCCGATCCCTACAGGTCTGAATAATAACCCTGTGTTTCTAAACTCTGTTCCAGACGTTCTGCCGCTGGTTAGAAAACGCTCTGAAGGCGTTGCCTAAGGAGACGTCGGGGGGTGCAGTGACAGTCACTCACAAACAGCTGACTGACTTCCACAAACAGGTCACCAGGTGAGCTCACCTGAGTCCGCACCACCATTCAATGTACAGGTGTTTTAACCCTAACCCTTTATGAACAGTAGGACAGTGTGATTGTCAGCCTGAGGTGCACACAGGACTAATCAACAGCAACACACCTGAGTTCACCTGAACACTAATGCAACAGCAACACACCTGAGTTCACCTGAACACTAATCAACAGCAGCACACCTGAGTTCACCTGAACACTAATCAACAGGAACACACCTGAGTTCACCTGAACACTAATCAACAGCAACACACCTGAGTTCACCTGAACACTAATCAACAGCAACCACCTGAGTCCCCTGAACACTAATCAACAGCAACACACCTGAGTTCACCTGAACACTAATCAACAGCAACACACCTGAGTTCACCTGAACACTAATCACAGCAGCACACCTGAGTTCCACCTGAACACTAATCAACAGCAACACACACTGAGTTCACCTGAACACTAATCAACAGGAACACACCTGAGTTCACCTGAACACTAATCAACAGCAGCACACCTGAGTTCACCTGAACACTAATCAACAGCAGCACACCTGAGTTCACCTGAACACTAATCAACAGCAACACACCTGAGTTCACCTGAACACTAATCAACAGGAACACACCTGAGTTCAACCTGAACACTAATCAACAGCAACACACCTGAGTTCACCTGAACACTAATCAACAGCAGCACACCTGAGTTCACCTGAACACTAATCAACAGCAACACACCTGAGTTCACCTGAACACTAATCAACAGCAACACACCTGAGTTCACCTGAACACAATCAACAGCAACACACCTGAGTTCACCTGAACACTAATCAACAGCAGCACACCTGAGTTCACCTGAACACTAATCAACAGCAACACACCTGAGTTCACCTGAACAACTAATCAACAGCAACACACCTGGGTTCACCTGAACACTAATCAACAGCAACACACCTGAGTTTCACCTGAACACTAATCAACAGCAGCACACCTGAGTTCACCTGAACACTAATCAACAGCAACACACCTGAGTTCACCTGAACACTAATCAACAGCAACACACCTGAGTTCACCTGAACACTAATCAACAGGAAACACACCTGAGTTCACCTGAACACTAATCAACAGCAACACACCTGGGTTCACCTGAACACTATCAACAGCAGCACACCTGAGTTCACCTGAACACTAATCAACAGCAACCACACCTGAGTTCACCTGAACACTAATCAACAGGAACACACCTGAGTTCACCTGAACACTAATCAACAGGAACACACCTGAGTTCACCTGAACACTAATCAACAGCAGCACACCTGAGTTCACCTGAACACTAATCAACAGGAACACACCTGAGTTCACCTGAACACTAATCAACAGCAACACACCTGAGTTCACCTGAACACTAATCAACAGGAACCACACCTGAGTTCACCTGAACACTAATCAACAGCAACACACCTGGGTTCACCTGAACACTAATCAACAGCAACACACCTGAGTTCACCTGAACACTAATCAACAGGAACACACCTGAGTTCACCTGAACACTAATCAACAGCAACACACCTGAGTTCACCTGAACACTAATCAACAGGAACACACCTGAGTTCACCTGAACACTAATCAACAGCAACACACCTGAGTTCACCTGAACACTAATCAACAGCAACACACCTGAGTTCACCTGAACACTAATCAACAGCAACACACCTGAGTTCACCTGAACACTAATCAACAGCAACACACCTGAGTTCACCTGAACACTAATCAACAGCAACACACCTGAGTTCACTCTGAACACTAATCAACAGCAACACACCTGAGTTCACCTGAACACTAATCAACAGGAACACACCTGAAATTTCCACCCTGAACACATAATCAACAGCAAACACACCTGAGTTCACCTGAACACTAATCAACAGGAACACACCTGAGTTCACCTGAACACTAATCAACAGCAACCACACCTGAGTTCACCTGAACACAAACAGGAAGTGGTTTGGTCTAATGTTTGTTTGTTTGTTGGTCCTCAGTGCGGAGGAGTGTAAACAGGTGTGCTGGGCCATCAGAGAGTTCACCAGACCTGTACCGATAGCTGCGACCTTCTCACTACACAGGTTAACTACACACACGGGTAACTACACACACGGGTAACTACACACACGGGTAACTACACACGGGTAACTACACACACGGGTAACTACACACACGGGTAACTACACACACGGGTAACTACACACAAGGGTAACTACACACACGGTAACTACACACACGGGTAACTACACACACGGGTAACTACACACACGGGTAACTACACACACGGGTAACTACACACACGGGTAACTACACACACGGGTAACTACACACACGGGTAGCTACACACACGGGTAACTACACACACGGGTAGCTACACACACGGGTAGCTACACACACCGGTAGCTACACACACCGGTAGCTACACACACTGTAACTGTAGCAAACGTCCTCTGAAGGTAACGTCTTGTTTGTTTTCCAGGTTAATCTTTTGTTGACCAACATTCAGAGGTGACGGCAAAAAGCTGCGACTGCAGACGAGGATCCGGAGGTGAGGGAGATAAAGATGGAGGACTTTGAATGTGAAACAGGAAAACGCTCTGAAGGACTGACAGAGGACTGATTGGACACAGTCGTCGACGTCCCCCCCCCCCGATCTCACCTGAGCTCACCTGCAGCCGGATCAGGTGGGCAGGGTCAGGTGTGCACTGATGCGTTCAGGGTCTTCATCAGTGGACGAGCAGTTTTTAAGAGAAGATTTATTTTTGGGACTTTGGTCGTGATGTTTTCTGTCCGTGCCATACAAAGAGCCAAAAGATTTCCCATGATGCTCTTGGCCAAGCGGCGGCTGCGAGGCGTAATGCTGGAGGTTTGGCGTCACCTTTGACCTTTTTAACTTTGGTTGACTTTTAGTTGTTTTTCCACAAAGCGAGACAGAGTGAACTCTGGGTAATGAGACGGAGAGACTGACACCATGACATCATCGGTGATGTAGCCTTGTTGTAAACAATAAACAAAAACAACTGAAACCACCGTGTCACTTCCTGTTTCAGTGTCTCTGTGTGTCGGGGGAAGCTAACGGTTAGCATCACCTGTAGTTCCTTTTCACTTCAATCATAAAGAGTTTAATAAGATCATCTGCTCAGCTAAACGTGTAAGTATCGTATCACTGACATAATAAGTCACAGGGAGAAGCTGCCTTCAGGGTCCAACTCAGAACCAGGGAGATGCTGCCTTCAGGGTCCAACTCAGAACCAGGGAGATGCTGCCTTCAGGGTCCAACTCAGAACCAGGGAGATGCTGCCTTCAGGGTCCAACTCAGAACCAGGGAGATGCTGCCTTCAGGGTCCAACTCAGAACCAGGGAGATGCTGCTTCAGGGTCCAACTCAGAACCAGGGAGATGCTGCCTTCAGGGTCCAACTCAGAACCAGGGAGATGCTGCCTTCAGGGTCCAACTCGGAACCAGGGAGGTGCTGCCTTCAGGGTCCAACTCGGAACCAGGGAGGTGCTGCCTTCAGGGTCCAACTCGGAACCAGGGAGGTGCTGCCTTCAGGGTCCAACTCGGAACCAGGGAGATGCTGCCTTCAGGGACCAACTCGGAACCAGGAAGATGCTGCCTTCAGGGTCCAACTCGGAAGCAGGGAGACGCTGCCTTCAGGGTCCAACTCGGAACCAGGGAGACGCTGCCTTCAGGGTCCAACTCAGAACCAGGGAGATGCTACCTTCAGGGACCAACTCAGAACCAGGGAGATGCTGCCTTCAGGGACCAACTCAGAACCAGGGAGATGCTGCATTCAGGGTCCAACTCAAAACCAGGGAGACGCTGCCTTCAGGGACCAACTCAGAACCAGGGAGATGCTGCATTCAGGGTCCAACTCAAAACCAGGGAGACGCTGCCTTCAGGGACCAACTCAGAACCAACGAGATTCTGCATTCAGGGACTAACTCAGAACCAGGGAGATGCTGCCTTCAGGGATCAACTCAGAACCAGAGAGATTCTGCCTTCAGGGACCAACTCAGAACCAGGGAGATGCTGCCTTCAGGGACCAACACAGAACCAGGGAGATGCTGCCTTTAGGGACCAACTCAAAAATTGGAAGGTGCTGCCTTCAGGGACCAACACAGAACCAGGGAGATGCTCAGAAATACCACATCTTGCTGCTATCTGTGTTTTGTGTTGGCTCTCCTCTACTTGTTTCCCCACCAGTACCTTTACTTTGCAGATTGAACTCTTTATAATTCACAGTTTCCTAACCCTAACGCTAAGAAACACCTGAAGAAGAAACACCTGTGCCCTGTACTCTGAATCCAGATCAACATACCCTGATCTCTCAGAGTTATCTTAACTAACCCAAAACAAACGCGCTCTCGCTAAGCGGTCCTAAGACGCTGGTTATCAACTCGGTAACTCAAGCCAGGGTTTCTCTGTCCGGCTGAGTTCACATGAAAGGGGCGGGGCTAGCACCATTTGACCAATCACAAACATGGAGAAGCGCACTGACAGCGCAGCATACTTCCTGAATGGAAAGTCAACTATAATTAGACAAATATGAAGAAGGCCAGATACGGCTCGAGAAGTCTGCACTCAGTGCCGCGGACTGTACGTAATGTGACTCTGATCCGGTTACTTATGTTGTGGCAGATATTTCAGTAAGCTTTCTTAACGCTAATGTTATAATAGTCAGATTGCTCTGAAGATGGAGGTGATATTCTATTAATGTTCACGTTCACACAGGCGGTGATTTGTCGCCCCTGAAGTTACCTATCCAACTCAGAGTTAACCTGAAGTGACCTCTCTAACACAGAGTTAACCTCTTCGCTAACCGCAAATCCTGCTTCGTAGTACAGGCCACTGAAGAAGAAACATCAGGAGAAGAAACATTATAAGGGTCTAATTGATATTAAGAGTCTGGTTTAAATCTGAATGGTGTAAATATAAATATATTCCAGATTTCTTATTTATGGATTTTTTTCTCAGATTGTTCTTCCTTTGTTGAAATTAAAATATTGATTGATTCTCAAACTCACTTTGGTTAATCTGAAATCATTGTGTACCTGGCGTTTGCATGATGCTAACTGCTAACACTATCTCTCACCTGCTAACTGCTAACACTATCGCTCACCTGCTAACTCTAACTCTTCACAATAAAACAAACACCACACATACAATTTAACTAATGTCGTGTTTTTTCTATTTTGTATTTTTAAATATCACAAACCACACGTCACACGCACAAGTTGTTTGGACTCTTATTTTCTAATTCGAGCTTTTATTTTTGTGCACCTAACGGGAGGTAGTTTTCTCATTGTGTCGCATTGATTGTGTTCCGGAGTTTGTGAAGTTTTCTCTGAGCCACGGCCCGCGCGGATTCACTTCCGCTTTGGTTATTTTAACTTTAACTAAAGTATAAGTTTATTTCCGTTTGTTTGTTTTCACTGCGTTCGCAGCGGCACAGAGGTGAGCACACCACACACACACACACACACACACACACACACACACACACACACACACAGAGACAGACAGACAGACACACACACACCCACACACTCTCGTTTTATTAATTGTTTATAAAGTTATAATCTGGTCTCATGACTTTCCAAAGCGTTTAAGGAAGGGACACCAGCTGGACTTCCTGTTGTTGAATCCAGAGACTTATTATTATTTGTATTACATTATTATTTGTTCATTATTATTGTGATAAATACTGAAACCAGACAGAGAAGCTGCATTCAAAGACATCAGGGTCACTCACCAGAGCTTCACAGTAAATCAATGTAATAATAATAATGTTCCCCAGAATGAGCGCCCCTCCCCGCAGAGTTAGGCTCCGCCCCTGGCTCCTGGCCCAGGTGAGCAGCGGCCGTTTCTCCGGACTGCAGTGGCTGGACCCTGAACTGCGCCTCTTCAGGGTCCCCTGGAAACATGCAACACGACACAGCCCCCCAGAGCAGGAGGACACCATCTTCAAGGTCTACAACTGCACCTGAACACAACACACACCTGTCCTACTGCTCCTAAACACAACACAGACCTGTCCTACTGCACCTGAACACAACACAGACCTGTCCTACTGCACCTGAACACAACACAGACCTGTCCTACTGCACCTGAACGCAACACGGACCTGTCCTACTGCACCTAAACACAGCATGCACCTGAACACAACATGCACCTGAACGCAACACGGACCTGAACATAACACTGACCTGTCCTACTGCATTTGAACACAACAGGCACCTGAACGCAACACGGACCTGTCCTACTGCACCTGAACACAGCATGCACCTGAACACAACATGCGCCTGAACGCAACACGGACCTGAACATAACACTGACCTGTCCTACTGCATTTGAACACAACAGGCACCTGAACGCAACACAGACCTGTCCTACTGCACCTGAACACAACACACACCTGAACACAACAGTGACCTGTCCTACTGCACCTGAACACAACACACCTGAACCCTGCTCTGTGTCTCACAGGCAGTCTGTATTGATAGTGGGTATGTGAACCCTGCTCTGTGTCTCACAGGCAGTCTGTATTGATAGTGGGTATGGGAACCCTGCTCTGTGTCTCACAGGCAGTCTGTATTGATAGTGGGTATGTGAACCCTGCTCTGTGTCTCACAGGCAGTCTGTATTGATAGTGGGTATGTGAACCCTGCTCTGTGTCTCACAGGCAGTCTGTATTGATAGTGGGTATGTGAACCCTGCTCTGTGTCTCACAGGCAGTCTGTATTGATAGTGGGTATGGGAACCCTGCCTTGTGTCTCACAGGCAGTCTGTATTGATAGTGGGTATGTGAACCCTGCTCTGTGTCTCACAGGCCTGGGCTCTGGAGACAGGGAAGTACCAGGAGGGTCTGGATGAGCCGGACCCAGCGAAGTGGAAGGCGAACCTGCGCTGCGCTCTGAACAAGAGCCGAGAGTTCCAGCTGAAGTACGACGGGACCAAAGAGACGCCTGTCCAACCGTACAAGATCTACGAGGTGTGTGAGCACAGCGCAGGAGCAGGTAACACACACTTTGACACACATACTGTGATACACACACTGTGACACACACAAGTCACACACACTGTGACACACACACTGTGATACACACAATGTGATACACACACTGTGTCACACACTGTGACACACACACTGTGTCACACACACTGTGACACACACTGTGACACACACAAGTCACACACACTGTGACACACACACTGTGACACACACTGTGTCACACACTGTCACATACACTGTGACACACACACTGTGACACACACACTGTGACACACACACTGTGACACACACACTGTGACACACACACTGTGACACACACACTGTGACACACACACACACTGTGACACACACACACACACACTGTGACACACACACTGTGATACACACACTGTCACATACACTGTGACACACACACTGTGACACACACAAGTCACACACACTGTGACACACACACTGTGATACACACACTGTGTCACATACACTGTGACACACACAAGTCACACACACTGTACTGACCCGAAGTTTTTTTTATTTGTAACCTTTCTGTGTTTCAGATTTTGTTGATGAGGACGAGGAGGAGGTGAGAAACACACGCACATGCACACACACACACACGCACGCACACGCACACACACACGATAATGAATTGTGTTGGACGATACATGTTCCTGGAAATGATTGCGATAAAGGATAATTTTGTCGCACCGTTGTTGGACCATTTTAGACATGATGATAATATATAGTGATAATTCAAGTACATCCTT